GGACGCTTACTATCACATCTTTCTCTCAAGGAGTGGCTGGTTGGTTCGAACTGCCAATCTTCTGGTTAGCGTCTGGTGCTTAACCACTGCACATAAAGTCAATATCATTATTAACTTTGTGTGTGTGTGTGTGTGTGTGTGTGTGTGTGTGAGATGTTGGTGAAAGTTTACAAAGCAAATTCGCTCCCCATTCAGAAATTTATAGATTACTTTGTGACGTTGGATGCAATGTCTTCAATCCGCCAGCATTCTCCCCACTTCACCGTGAGTTTTCTGTTTTCATTCGCCCAACTTTCCTGCCCCTTCCTGCCTTTTGAATTTTATTTTTGGACCAATGCTGCCCTTCTGGTCTCAGAGTTGAATGTTCTGAGAAGCATGCTTCTCGTGGGTGGCATTGTTCACTTTATAATAAAGGCCTGTCTGTTGTTTGGCTGTAAGGTGATCTCTGGAGTGGGCTCAGTTTTAGGTTTGAAGGATTACAGTCAGTACAGCTTGATGAGCTGGCAGTAGGCTAAGATGCTGAGATAAAGGAAGGGTTGAAGGATGAAGAGATCAGAAAGGTGCAAAGGGCTTTCCCGGAACAAACATCAACAAAGACACAAAGGGGAGACACAGCGGAGTAAGTACAAGAAGAATAAGGTGGGGAAAGCTCTTGGAAAGATAGGCACCCCACACTGACCTCACCCAGTAGAGATGGCCTCAGCCCCGGGCCTGGGCCTCTCCACCCTAATATATCCTGTTTTTCTAAGCTTGCCCCACAGGAAGGGCAAACAGGATCAGCTGGATCCGGGTTTGGTAAAGGGTGGGCGAAGTTGCCTGGCTGTGCCATGTTATGCCAGGAGTTGAGATCTTTATCTCCTCCCTGGTGGCACAAGTAGTTTACACTCACCTATTAAGCTGTACAATAAGCACTGGGCTGCTAACCACAAGGTCAGCGGTTCAAACTTACCAGCTGCTCTGAGGAAGAAAACTGAAGCTGTCTGCTCTGTAAACATTTACAATTTTGGTGCAAAACTATGAAGCACCAAATCACTCTTCCCACAGCATATTCCCCACTTCTCATGTAATTGAGAACTCGAGACAACATGCTCACAGCTAGGGGCTTTATTAGGGAAATTACAGGACAGGATCAGATTCAATGCTCAGGGCATAGTTGTTCCCGTCAGCTGCTGAGAGAGGCCACAGCACCCCACCCTAAGCCTCAGCCTGAAGGCACTCAGCTCTAGCTCCCCACTTAAGTGCCTGGAGGTACCCTACTTACAAGCAAGCTCCCTGCCCCAAATCACTCAGCTTTATTTGCTTCATTGGCTGCTGCGAAGCCCACGGTTCTCTCTCCTGCTCTGCTTCTCTGCCACTCCTCCCAGAATTACAGCTTTCTCTCCCAGGGTTGAGGAGGTCCAATATACATAGATCTCAGGGGTCCAAAGGGTACACTCCCCTCTTGCCTCTTCTTTGACGATAATGAGATCCCCCCCCCCCTGCTGCTTCTGCGATGGCTTATTTTTGACGCATGCTCGAGTTTCACGTTTTCACAATGAGCTCTGCTAGCATCCACGGCTGAATGATGTCATCCTATCAGTATCGTCTCCCATCTTCTCAAACCAGGACCCAGCAAGGCAGAAACAGTTACAGACTGTGGTGTGGTGCTGTAGGATCAGCACTGGAGTGCAAACCATAAGGATGGTAGTTCAAACCCACCAGCTGCTCTTTAGAAACCCTAT